TATATATATATATATATATATATATATATATATATATATATATATATATATATATATATATATATATATATTATATATAGTGCCCTTTAATTAGACTTCTTGAGGAGATAGGGACCCCCATTTCATTATTCTGCTTCATTCTGTCTCTATTCTCCCACTCTGCAGAATCTGTTAGTTCAATCTCTAACATTAACATTATGCTCTCTCTGCTTGTTCTCATAGTAGCTTCACCTCATTTGTTCCTGTTTGGCTGTGACTCCATCCTGGAGAGAAATATCAGCTGTGCTGCTGCCATCAACACCTTTATATATAGATTTTGGAGATCTGCCTGTTTTTTCAGTGTAGTCCTGTTTCTCTGACTGTGACTGGTTGTATGTGCTCTCTTCATCCTCTGACATGTGAGCTGGCTCAGGGCTCGTCTGCCTGGCTGTGTGTTTCCTGGACAGGGCCGCCTTTTACAGCTGCTTTTTGTATCTCTGCTTCTGTCTCCTTGAACCCCAGTCGGCCTCAGCAGATGGCCGCTCACACTGTGCCTGGTTCTGCTGGATGTTTCTTCCTGTTAAAAGGCTGTCTTTCCTCTCCACTGTCGCTACAAGCATGCTTAGTGTGAGGGTTTGTATTTGAGTCAATGAGTCGATGCAATCACTGGTTTTCCTTAGTTAGAAAACTGAGTTTGACTGTATGATCTGGTGAACTGTAAAGTGCCTTGAGATTAAATGTGTTGTGAATTGGGGCTATAGAAATAATAATGATAAATTTTTTATTTATGGTATTTCTTTAATGTATGAGAGTTGTTCTTTACTTTGTTATTTTACTCTGTTTAAAAGTAAACTGTAAAACCAATAAACAGATTTTTGTTTTTTATGTAGAAGTGTAATTATTGTTTGTCAGCAATAATTTTGCAGAGACAATTTGGGATTAATTGTGTTTTAACATTTTCCACTGCTTTATATGAGAAGATCAGATGGTGATTCTGCTAGACAAATTTTCCTGGAAATTTCAAACTATACTGGGGTTTATTTTCCTAACATGGCCTTCATATATTCTGTATTAAAATAAAGGATTACATAAACAACCTTGCCAGAATTTCATTCTCCTTGTAAAAACAAATCTGTTGTATTTTCTCAGGACATGATAACTTATGAATGACCAAGATGCCTCCGCACGGCTCATATTTTAACAAAAACGAATTGTTCTGTTTGGAAGGAAATTTAAAAAAAGGATCAGACTGAAAAATGTTATTCCTTTCTCAGAAAAAAAATGATTGATGATTTTTAGTTCAGTTTGTCCCATTTTTAAAATATCAAACTGAATAAATCTATATGGTGCTTAAAAGGTTTTTCTAAAGCAAAGTTTGAACAACAAAATATGGCTACAAATAACACTTCTCTGTAAAACTTTTCTCATCATGGCTGACTTGAAAAAGCATCTTCCCCCAAACAAATGGTTGAAATTATCCCAGCAACTCTTCACAGGTTTGAACTGTTACTTCTCCTTCAGTTTAAATGGCATCATGTTATAGACTATCACACATAAAGCTGAGCAAACAAACAAAATAGATTCATTTGCCTTAGTGGTTCATTCATTTTGTGCAGAAGGCTTAGAGTCAGCATCAACGCTGAAACATTGCTCTAAAAATGGATCCTCTGTGAAGTTGCTCCACATAACAGACATCTTTCTTTTTATCACATGACTTAACAGTCAATTAGTCTAATAGCCTCACTTCAAGGGACTTAAAAGAAAAAAAAATATTACATTATGTTCATTTTTTTTATTTATCTATTGAGCTCTACTCATCAACATTTGTATTATTGAAAAAAAATAAATAAAAGAGAGTTTACTCCTAATAATAAGCTTCATTTTCCAACTGTATAAACACCTAACGTACAGAGAGTCCTGGAACTTGTATAAAGAATTGGGAAAAGATAAGTAATTGAACTATATGAAGCGGCTCCACTGACTGAACCATTATACTAGATCAAAACGAAGAGCAGAAACAAGCATTTGGTTTAATCATGATCAGTTGATTGTCAAAATAATAATTAACTAAATTATTATTGAGTTGATCATTAACTGAAGTATATGGACTCTAAAACATGCCATAGGCTGAAGATTAACCCAATTAGAGCAATCACTAAAAAATGTTAAAACAAACTCAATAAATGTTGCATTTAAGATGAAAAAAATCATTCAATATCAATTCAGTTTATTTCTATAGTGCCAATTCAACACACACGTCA